GTGGCAGAAGAATTGTCACAAACCAGTTGTGAACCAGGCCCTTTGACACCGCGACAAATGTGTTTTTCCAGCTCGTCAGGGCTGTGCAGGGGAGGAAAATGAAGTTCATTTGGAGATGTCTTTCTATTTGTGTTGACCTCGGGAGGGTCACAACAGCCAATGCCAGAGTGTGAAAAATGCTGATACCTCCTTTGACTTCCTTGCTTTAGCCTCAGGCAGGCTTGAGGAGGCAAAAAGCAGCACAAGGAGAGGCTCATTAACATTTCCTCTGCCCAGCAAGAAAACCAAAATAACAAACATCTCATTAAATAAGAAGAGGGGAGAATTACAAAACACGGGAGATATTTTTAGTTGGAAAACAAAGCACTTTATCTTCCTCTCAAAGTAGGGCTTTCCAGATGAAAAGGAATACAGAGAGAATTATGCACCAGAAGTTGTGGCACTAATAACAATCATCATTGTGGGGTAATATTGATAGCAGGATGCCCTCAGGTTCCCAATTGCTTCCACACCCTCCCAGTAAGTGACGTGGGCCTGGGGGACAATGGGTGGCCGGGAACAAAGGACCCACTGACGTGTGAACCATGTTTTAAAAGCAAAACTCTGCGTTGTGAGTGCCAGCTCCAGTGCAATAAAGTGTTCCAGGGCTGGAGATGGATGAATAGAAACGTATGGTGCAAATTAAATGTGCTATTCTTTTCCCTCTTTCGTTCCTTGCGAGTTTAAAAGCCCAACACCTTGGTTTCTTCTTAATTTTATTTCCTTCCAAGGGTTTTTGCTACCAAACAAATGACTGGGCAGCTTTGTCTGGTGAGCTGTAGGAGAATTAATAGGGATTGAAAGGATGTGGAGGCAGATGGGGGGAAAATGTGGTTTCTTATTTTCTTCTTATTTCTTCTAGAAAGAGGAAGCAATTACAGAAAGGAAAGGGAAAATTCTAGCACAGGGAATATAGGATAATGCAGCAAATCCCTTGTTCACCACTAGAAGATATTAGTTCCTGCAAGAATATGGGATGAATTGCCCACATGGCTTCAGGCTTCTAATTTCAAGTGCTTCAAAGAGTCCTGGGTGAAAGAAAGTCTCCTCCAGACAGCAATTCCAAGGAGGAACACAATGAACATCTCAGTGCACAACTGGGGAGGGACCCTGGCAGCACAGGAGGGCACTTCAGCATATGCCAGAGCTCCTCGGAGCATGTGAAGCACAGAATCAGCTGCACCAGAAACTTCCCCAAGTTTCGCTCGGGATCTCCCCCTTCTCACTCACCCACCAGGTTCATCTGGCTCGCAGCTCAGGCTGCTCTCCAAGAAGTGACAGCTCTTGCCACAAGGAGCCTCTGAGCAGAACACTCATCCAGATGAGGTGGCAAAGGCCTGTCAACCCCCTAAAAAAACCCCAAAACCAAACACATTTGCTCCTAAGGCAGAGAGAGCCCACAGGCTGAACTGATGCCAAGGGGTGAGTGCCACCAGGCTCGGGGTGCATCGTGTCCTCAGCAGACAGTGACAGCACCAGGGAAGGTGCCAGTGACTCAGTGTCCCTTTATTCTGGTCCCACTCCCCTCAGGGGAAGGCTCAGTTGCTGCTCACTGCCACATGCTCCTTTTGCTGTTTTTAACTGGTCTGTTGGCTTTCCCCTTTTCTCTCTCCTCTTTTTTTTTTTTTTTTGGATCTGATCCTAACCTACGGTGCATCCAGGAAGCTCTAGGGAGACAACCCACGTTGACACCATCCCTGCTGAGCTATGAGATGTGGCTTTTTGCTATTTTCTCTCCTTCCCTTGCTTCAGCTTAGCTCTTTTGGAGCAAACTGCTCGCCCTCATCCTCACATCCCACTCTCCTTTCTGCTCTTCTTGCCCCTCTCTTATCTTGGACACCCTGTGGCCACCCAGAAGAGTTCTGCCTCCTCCCCATCCTGTCCCAATCCGTGGATCCTGTCCTTCCATGCCTGTCTGCCTCTCTGTGCCCCGAATCTGCCTGTCTGCCTCAAATTGCCTCTCTCCATCACCTCGCTCCACATCTCCCTCCTCCCTTGGCTTCCGGCTCCCCTCTCTCCTCCTCCTCTTCCCACGCACCTCGCTTTAATTAGAAGTACAAAGAAAATGCTTATCACACACGTCTTAATCAGCAACTCGCTCCCCAGCAGGTCCAGAAGGAAAACCCCCATTCGTCCTCGCTTCTCCCACCTCCCCCTCCACCTCCACAGAATTAGGAGGAGAGTGATTAGGGGGAGAGCTCTGTGAAAGGAGGCTGAATGCGATTAACCCAGAGACCTGGAAAAGCTGGAGGGAAGAGCCAAGAGAAGAGTGGTGATGCTCAGCAAGGGCTAATTCTGGAATTTCTAGGGGGAAAAGAGTCCCTGGCAGCAACAGACTGGGAGAACTGGACCTGGGAGTGCTCAGCAGGGCTGAGGATGATACAGCAGCTTGTCCTGGTAGCAAAATTATTATCCTGGATTGTGGGAGCATAAATACAGCCAGGAGATCATGGAGGTGATTATCTCCCTCCAGTCAGAGCATTTTAAATCATATTTTGTTGCAATTATGTTTGGGCCTCTTAATTCACGACAGTGATCACAGAGAATGAGTTCAGGCCATTGGGATGGTCAGAGCTGGTGCCTGGTGTGGGATTAGACACCAGAGAAGTGATGGATTTGGGGGATCCAACAGCAGTGTCCTGTCCCTGTGGAAGTTATCAAGGAGACAGAACCAGGATCTTCTGGTGGCTGGTGAGAGGACAAGGCACAGCAGGTCCAAATTCCAACAGGACACTCAGTTTGGGTACAAGGGAAAAGGTTTTCCCTCAGAGCAATCGCCATCCCTGGGGTTTTCAGTGCCTGGAACCAGCTCAGCTGACCCAGCAGCTGACTCAGCTCAGAGTAGGAGGTTGAGCTAGAAACCTCCTGAGTCCCCTTCATCCTTAATAATCCTGAGATCCTGTGCTGAGTGTCAAACGAGGCCGTTCAGATCCAGGGTTCCCCCCCAGCTGAAAAGCAAGGGAGGAGCAGAGAGAGGCAGCAGGGCCCGAACAGGGATCCATTTATTGGGGCAGATTTAGGAGCCATTTCATCCCAGACTCTGGCATTTGATGGGACAAGGAGAGGCTGAATGCAGGTCATCCTGCAGAGTTAATGCCACTTTATATTGTCCCCATCCTATGGGTCATTTCTGGGGGTCCTGGGTGAAAACCTCTCCAGGGAATATCTCTGCACTAATCCAGAGGTACAAAGGTTGCAGAGTCTCTCCCAGTCCGTGTTATCTTTTCCTAGCAGAGCAGGTTTGAGGCAGTTTCTGGGGCACTGAGACTGCAGCATAAAAAGCTCCAGACCTCTCCCAACCCCTCAGATAATTGACATTTGACTTTTCCTGAACACAAACACAGCTGCCCCAAAATCTTGTGCTTAGGAAAACTGGGTGAAATTGGAGAAGTAAGCGAGGCAGAGGGCAGTCAGAAATGGCACTGGGAGGGACTGCTGGATTAGGAATTCTGTGTTACACCCTCAGGGTTTTGTCCCCTTCCCCACTCACTGTCCCACCCACATTTCAACCAAACCATGCAGCCCTTCTAGGTCAGCTGCTGCTGCCCTAAGTAACCCTCTTATTCTCTGAGAGCCACCACCTGCTAGGGAACAAACATGGGCCCTCCTAAGTTACATAGATTTGAGGGAAAAAAAGGGAATCCTGACCCCTGCCTCTTATGCCCTTCAAATTAATCACCACCAGTTTGTGATTCTGATTTAACCTGGGCTCAACAGAACCTCCTTCCAGCAGGACTTCACTGAAACACCCTCTGCCTCCTCCTCTTCTTGCTCCTCTGGGATGGCTGAATTCCCACCAGGAACCACAGAGCCAGGACCTTTGGGAGTGAGGACCCACATTCAGCCTTGCTGGCACCCTGCCCACCATCCTGAGACAGGCAGGGGTCCGCCATGCCCCCCAGCACCACCCTGCTGCCAACAGGCTCAAACCCCCCTTTTAGATTTATCCTGATGGATCAGCATCCCACTGCCTCCGGCCACTGGCACTGGGAAGGGACGAGAAGGCCCAGATGTCCTCAGCACCTCTCCGAGGGTGTTCCGGCGGGGAAACTCTCTCGGATTAGGGAATCCTTTATCTCTGGCTTATGTAAGACCCGGAGACTCCTTTTATGGTTGGCTTTTCCTGCCTTGTCAAGAGCGAAGAACAAATGTAGCTTCATCTGCACTGGTGGGCTGGCTCACTGATTAAGCATCTGATTCAAAGCTAAGTACAGAACAGGCTTTTGATGGGCGGATTTAATTCGGTGTAAAAAACCAGGATGTTGTCCCCCTCCCTCACCCAATATTCCCAAGATAGTGGTTGGTCTGGTGCGATTAAGCCGCGGGGATGACTCCCACCTACCAAAGCCTGAGAAAGTCCAGAGCGCTCCAATTTGTGCTGAAGTGGCTCCCTTGAGTGTTCCTCCCTCTGCATCCCACCGCCCCCCCACCTTTGCTTTTCCTTTCTCTTCTCTACCCTTTTTTTTTTTTTTTTTCGCGCTGCTGATTTACCACAATTCCCAGGCATTTGCATGAGCAGTGAGCTCACCCTGTGTGTGTGTGTGAGCGCAGGGGGTGTGCGGGGGGCCCGGGGGCGTCTGACACACCGGATTCCTCCTCATCCCGCCCTCCCCGAGCCCTGCCAGGGGACGCATGTTAATGATGACCTTGCTGAGTAAAGAGTTGTGGAAGGAATAAGTGTTTTTCCTGCGCTCCGAGAGGCGGAAGGTGCGATTACTCATCCATCTCTCCAACTGTCTCCAGCACCTTTCAAGCGCTTCTCGCGTCGAGTCTGGGGGCGTGAGCGAGGGGGTGGCGAGCGAGGGGAGGCTGCCAAAATCTGGGTTGCCACAGTCACCGGCATCTCTTTTCCTCCAATGAACGCTGCGCTGAGAGTGCGAGAGGAGGCTGGGCACCACCCACATGTTGAGCTGCGTGGAGTATAAGTAGATGGAGGAGCCTGGACTAGTGGCAGTTCAGACAGGGAGGAGAAGCAGCTCTTTGCATCTCCAGTGAAAGCGGTTTTTGACTCACCTAGTTTGCCCGAGGAGAAATCACCCGGATTTTTGCTGCAGCTTCCAGCTTCTTTGTGCATCTCTGTGATTTCCTCCGGCGGGGACTTTGCGGCGTTCCAGATTCCCAGCGGGATTGGACATCCTATCCAACTCCTCTCCTTGTTCCTGGAGGATCCTGGTTCTCTCTGGGACTCCCCTGAACACGTGAGACCGGCGTTTCCAGCTTGGCACCAGGAGAAATTTGCCTACAACTCTCTCTGGGATCCACGTGGACCGACCAGCTCGCTCTGCGGTGATATCTGATTGGGTTGTGTTTGTGTCCCAAAGTCCTTGGAGGGGGGTTTAGAAGTCTCTGTGTGTCTTTCAGGAAGTGTTGTGGTGGGGTTTTTTGGGATCCAGCTTTAGTGCCAGGGGCTTATAACCCAGTTCTTCCCGCGTTTGCCACTCGCACGGTCGGAGCCATGCAGCTGGACAATGTCACCAGCGCGGGCGTCCACTCCTTCCAGGGGCACCGTGGAGTTGCCAACAAGCCCAATGTGATCCTGCAGATAGGGAAGTGCAGGGCAGAAATGCTGGAGCATGTCCGGAGGACCCACCGGCACCTCCTGACAGAGGTCTCCAAGCAGGTGGAGCGGGAGCTGAAGGGATTGCAGAAATCCGTGGGGAAGTTGGAGAACAACTTAGAGGACCACGTCCCAACTGAAAACCAGAGATGGAAGAAGTCCATCAAGGCCTGCCTGGCCAGATGCCAGGAGACCATTGCCCACCTGGAGAGGTGGGTCAAGAGGGAGATGAATGTTTGGAAGGAGGTCTTTTTCCGCCTGGAAAAGTGGGCTGACCGCCTGGAGTCCATGGGAGGCAAATACTGCCCTGGGGAGCAGGGCAAGCAGACAGTGTCCGTCGGGGTGGGAGGTCCGGAGATAAGGCCGAGTGAGGGGGAGATTTATGATTATGCCCTGGACATGAGCCAGATGTATGCCCTGACCCCTCCTCCCGGGGAGGTGCCCAGCATCCCCCAGGGCCACGATTCCTACCAGTGGGTCTCCGTGTCGGAGGACGCTCCAGCTTCCCCCGTGGAGACCCAGGTGTTTGAGGATCCCCGGGAGTTCTTGAGCCACTTGGAGGAATACTTAAAGCAGGTGGGTGGAACAGAGGAGTATTGGCTGTCTCAGATCCAAAACCACATGAACGGCCCAGCTAAAAAGTGGTGGGAGTACAAGCAGGACTCCGTCAAAAACTGGGTCGAGTTCAAGAAGGAGTTCCTGCAGTACAGCGAGGGAACTCTGACTAGGGATGCGATCAAAAGGGAGCTGGATTTGCCCCAGAAAGAGGGGGAGCCCCTGGATCAGTTCCTCTGGCGCAAGAGAGACCTGTACCAGACCCTCTATGTGGATGCAGATGAGGAGGAGATCATCCAGTACGTGGTAGGAACCCTCCAGCCCAAACTGAAGCGTTTCCTGAGCTACCCCCTGCCCAAGACCTTAGAGCAGCTGATCCAGAGGGGGAAGGAGGTCCAAGGCAACATGGAGCACTCTGAGGAGCCCAGCCCACAGAGGACCCCTGAGGTTCAGCCAGGAGACTCCGTGGAGACCGTGCCCCCCTCAACCACCGCCAGTCCCGTGCCGAGCAATGGGACTCAACCAGAGCCCCCCAGCCCCCCAGCCACTGTCATATGAGCTCCCCTGAGGGGGGTCTGGGTTCCGTGGAAGGGAGAAGGGGGCTTATTTAGGAAGCTTCTCCTTGGAGGGAAGTTCTGGCTGAGACGAGACCTGAGGAGTGCTCAGTCCAACAGCCCAGAGCAGAGGGATTGGCTTTGCTCCTGGGGGGAGGGAGGTGGTGAGGGAGAGGAACCCCAGGATGGGGCTGCCCCCCTCACCCAGGCCGTGCCATGCGGTGGTGCTGGGGACCCTGCTGGCACCACTGCGGGGAACAGCCAATTTTATGAGAATTCCCTGACAAGAAACTAGAGACAATTCCCAACTTGTGAAGCGGCCGCTCGGCACTGGCAGCTCTCAAGGACTTCATACGAGTGCAGCAGTTGGTGGAGGGTTCCTACCCATCTGGATCTCTCTTTTTCCTTCTCTCCTCCCTCCTCCGAGAGGGTGGCCCTGTCCTGAGGAGACAGCTTTCTTTTTCACCCTTGCCTGTTTTTGATTAACCTCTGGGTTTCTGTTCACTTGGCAATCTCCTGCTCTTACTTGCTCCAAAGGATTAAAGTAATTTTTTGATTATTTTTTGTTATAAGAAGAAAAAATAATCCTATTATTTCAGGAACTGAAAGCTTTAAGAATCTGGATTATTTTCTGTGGTTTTCATTTCACTGCACCTAATACCTGCTTTAATGTGTTTCCTCTCAAGAGGCTCTTACTGGTTTACTTCTTGTCTTAGTTTCTGCTCACTCTAATTCAAGGCCACTGCAGTGCAGAGGCAGATTTCATCCTTTCTCTGCACATTATCCTGTGCATTCAGCAGGAAACAGGTTTTCTAATTAAATTCTGAGCTCATTTATTGAAGGAGCAGTCTCCTTCCTTTCAGAGAAGAGAGGGTGTTCAAGGTAGAGAGAGGAGACACCAGAGCTTTTTTGAGAGAGACTGGGGGGGAGGGAAGGGAAATAAATCCTTATTCTTTGAATGAAACAAACAAACACACCCTAAATTCAGAGCAAAATATCCCCAGAGCAGCAAATCGAGTCCATGCTGATGTGTGGAGACAACAGAAGCTTTTGCCATGTAAAAGCCAAAAGAAGTGAAGAGAGGATCTGTGTGCCCCAGCAGAGTTTTAGCCTGTGCATCGCTGCAAGGAGTTTCTGCTCACACAGACAGAATCCAAATGCTCCTGGAAAGACTGGCACCCCTGTCCTGCAGCACCTGAGGACAGAGTGTTGTCTGCTCACAGAGGAATTCCTGCAACATCTCACCATAAATGGAGATGGACTTGGACTTTGTGACTTCTTCCATGTTGAGACAGGAAACGCTCAGCACTCACCTTTGGCCAGTGCTTGATGACAGGACTGAGAGAAGAAAGACATTCCTGAAGTTTGGCTCTCCAAAGCTTCCCGAGGCTGGACAGGTCTTGGGCATCACCTGCATCCACCACCAGACCAAATAAACAGCAGGGATGCAGCAGCAGGAGTGACCCTGGGATGCTCCTGGCACTGCCACAGCGGTGGCACGTGGCCCTGGTGGCTCGGAAGGCCTTTGCTGTGACTCCTTCCAAGAGGCTGAAGGTAAGGCAGCTCTCTGGCATTCTCTCCTCAGAGCTGAACTGGTCATAGAATGTCCAGTAGAAACTGGGATAAAAACTCAGCAGAAATGGGATATGGGATTGGGTTGGGAGAAAGGGGAAGGGAGACCAGCCCAAGGGAAATACACGAATGGGAAAAGTTTCCAAAGAGGGCAGTATCCTGCACTTTCTGATTAATATGGGAAAAGAATGGGGAGATTCTTAATTAGCCCAGCCCCAGAACCTGCCTTGTCCTTCATGGAAAACCTCTGGGCTTGAGTCCCCACCTGAGGCAGCACATCCCAGGCCCATGCACAGCCCAGAGGAGCTGCAGGTCTGCTCTGCATCCTTGCTGGGAGCTGGTCTCAGGAATGGTGGGAGCTCTCCTCTCACTTGTTCCCAGTTTGTCAACAGCTCTGCGTGCAGAGAAAGGAGCATTTCTCACTAATGACCCGGGCTGAGTGATGGGGGAGTGGGAGTCACTGCTGAGGATGAGCTGGCCGTGTATTACAAGCTTTGTCTCCTCTTGCTTCCAGTGACTCACTCAGATCCTCCTCTGAGAAGGAATCACTTCGCAGCATGCAGCGTTTGGGAGGAAAGCCACAGAAAAAGCTGCAAAACAAAGGCCTCAATATCAGACCTGCTCTCAGGACCCTCAGCCACCAATGGCCAGATCCACCACCTGAAGGAAAGACTGGCACAGGTAATTACATCCCATATTGCTTTGTGGGTCTACCTGAATGTCCCCAGTGCCCTGACCTGAGATATTGAACAGCCCAGGTGCAAACGCCTGTGCTGGTCTCAAAACCTCAGTCCCAGTGGCTGCAGCAGCCTGGCACCACCAGAGAGGTGGGATTTCAGCTCCTTGCTGCCAGAACCCAAGCACCAGCCCCAGTAATTGATGCCCCACGGACTGCACATTGTGGCTTTCCCTTGGCTGGACCATGGGCAAATCCTTAAACCCCAACACCTCATAGGTCCTCCAGGCTGCAGGCACAGCAAAATTTAATCCCAGCTCCTGAGAATTTCCCCTCTATCCTCACTTCAAAAATCTAATCAGAGTTGGTGCATTTTTTTTTTTCTTTTCCAGCAATCCCTGCTGCTGTTGCTGAGATTCCTTCTCTGTGTCCAAGAGCTTTCCCAGGGGAGAAGAACGTGCTGCAGGAAGACAAGAGGGCAAATCATGCACCAAAGAGCCTCCCATGCAGTGCAATGCAAACATTCAAGGTGCTGAGAGCCAGAATGAAACTGGGAAGCTGCTTCCAGCAGGACAAAGAAAAGCCTGAGCTGGTCCAGGTCCTCCAAGCACAGAAGAAAGTGCTGAGAATGGAAAGAGAGGCCAGAACAGAAGAACCAAGTCCAGGCTTTGGGGACAGCAGGGATGCTGACTGTCTGTGGAGAGGATTCTGCACCTCTGCAGTCTGGGGCTGCTGGGACTCACCTAAAGAAATCTTCACTGGAAAATGATCCTCACTGAAAAAAAACAACAAACTTTCCTGATTAACTTTGCCAAGGGGCTGATCCTGCCTTGGCTAGGAACCCTCCCCGCTGGCCATGCTGTAACTCACCTCTCCTGAGTCGTTTCATGCGGGTATCAGTTCCAAACCTCAAAGGGCTCCCGGAGTTTGGAGAAGCATCCCACGGTCCAGATGCTTGTCTGAACTGTTGGAGCCTGCACATCTGGGCCAGCTGTCTTGCCAGCAAGGAGCCTTGTGAGACAGCAGGCGCTCTCTGGGTCTGCATGGGCCAGAGTTACTGCAAGAACTGGGGTTCTTGTGCTGGCTTTGGAGTGACTGTTTCCATCCAGACCCAGGGAGCCCAAAAAAAAGAGCTCCAGTGAGCTGGACAAGACAGTTTTGGTTCATCTCTCAGCCGAAGAGGTCCAGTTGGTTCCTCTCTCTTCCAGAGCCAACTGTCCTCTGTGTGTGTGTGGGTGGGTGGGTGTGGGTGTGCGTGTTTCATTATGGGGGGGGGGGGGGGGGGTTGTTTTTGTGGGGGGGGGGGGGGTGTGTGTGTTGAGCAAAAAAAATCCACATTACTTCTGTGGTGTTTTGTTGCATTTGAATTAAGCTAGAGGGACCTAAGGCACATTCCAACAAGGCTCAGCAAAAATGTCCAGGACTGGAAAATTCCATAAAACCATGTAAAGGCAGATTCCCGGACACCATCTTAAGGTCTAAATGATATTTGATTTTGAGGTGCTTAATTTCCACAGTCTCTTCCAGGGGACTGGACTGCCTCAAAAGGCATTTTATTTCTCCTGGTTTTTTAGGGAATTAGCCTGTCTGTGCTACTTGGTCATGTGGTCCTGAGTTTTTTTACATTTTCAGCTGGCTTTTTGGAGTGTGCAGAACTGAATTTCCTGGACTGATTTGATTTCAATTGTTGCTCCCAGCAAATTGGAGCTTTACTTGTAGCACCCTGGTTTTTATTACCAGCCTCTCCAGGAAGGACTGGTAGTTTATTTTCCTGGGGCAGAGTCACGTGAATGAGAAGTGTGGATGTGCTGTACCTCTGGAACTTTAGCAGATTTCAACCACTGCATTTTTTTTCCTCCCTAGGCGATTTTGCATTTACTGATGAAACTACTTTAGAGTTTTTATTTTTACTAGAGATATTATTAATTCAAACAACCTTGTGCAAAAGGCAAACATGTCAAATCGCTGCAGGTTGTAGGGGTTGAAGCCAAAAGGTCTTTGTAAGCCGACATCACCTGCCCTGGACCTGACTGGACCAGGCAGTTTATTCCTCATGTGTCATGTTGGAGTTACAAGATCACACCAAGCCACTAGAGCCTGCCAGTAGAATAGTGCTACCCTCGATTTGCTATTGTAGCAAAGCCTTTTGTAGATTTATACAATAAAACTTTGAAATATCTGCTTCAATTGCTTCCTGCCTCATTTTCTGGTCTTTCTTCCTTGGTTTGTGGGTGACTCAAGTATCTACTGCCCTCTGAAAGTTGGGGGCTATTGGGGTTACCTGGCTTATCAAAATCTTTTTTCTCAGCAAAAGCATGTGGTTGACATAAAAAATGAAATGCACTGAGTTGTTCAGACCCTAAAACTGAGTCAGATGCAGCCCATGAATTGGGAGAACCTTTGTGGGACTCTGGATCCTGCAGGGCTCTTTTTGGGTAAATCTGGGAGAAGGACCTTTGAAATGAGGACAATCACATTCCCACCCATGTTTGAGAAATTCGCAGAAGAACTGAGGCAAGACAGGGCAAGGTAAAGAAATTAAACCTCAATCAGCTCCGTTTTTACAACCAAAGAGCCTTTGTGAGTGATAAGCATCCTCACCCAGCAGAGACCCAGGAGCTGGGGCTTTGTTATCTGATGCATTCTCAATTCCTTGGGTTCATTACCTCTAAAACATCTGGACGTTATCCAGGCTGGAGTCAGGGAACACAGCAGGGAAAGGAGCTTAAAGCGATTTAAACTGAAATGTTTATTTTTAGCAATAGATTGATTGGCCCCAAAGATGTTCAGCTGAAGGACTCTGCCTCTGCAGATCCTTTTCCAGAAAATCTTTGCTCTCAGAAGGATTTAGCCCCATTCCCTGCTCCATCCCTGGTCTTTCTCCAATGAAGGAAAACAGTCCAGGGTGGGATGCAACTGGTAACGTGCACTTGGGTGGGTCAGCTGGAGAAACAAAAGGAGTAATTCCGTTTACAACAGGGAATAAATGCCCGGTGGACCTCCCAGAGATCCCTTTTGAGCTCAGGCTGGAGAGGCAGAGATAATCTGAAGGTCAAAGATACCTCAAGGAGAGCTGCTGTGTCTCCAGCTCTTTGCAACTCTTCCACCACAAACTCTTGGCAAGACTGAGAAGGAAATTTTTGAAGGTGTGATTTGGTTCCACAACTGAATTTTTCCTTTGTTGTCAGAATCAGTAAAATATTGGGGGAAAAAAGCATTGAGGGGACAGACCAGTGACAAAAGCACTTCCAGTGCTACCCCAACCTGTGACTGTGTAGGGGAGCTACAGGTGAGCAGGTTTAGATTTTTCATGGCCTATGGACATGGCCAAAAGTGCCATGAGCAACCTGATCCTTGCAGAACAAGACAAGAGTTGCACCAGCCCTGCCAGAGTTCAAGAAGCATTTGGACAACGCTCTCAGGCACCTGATGGGATTTTTGGGGTGTTCTGTGTAGGACAGCCAGGAGCTGGATTTGCTGATCCTTGTGGGTCCATTCCAATTCAGGAAATTCCAGGGTACTGAGCTCAGCTGGAGGTGCTGAGGTCTTCCAGCAGAGGGGGCAGAACTCCACTGTATACTGTGGGAATTAAAACCAGGAAAAGCACTAAGGAGGGAAAAATCTGTCCTTGTCATCATCCATCCCCACATGGCCCATTCCCACAGGACACAAGATCAGGGGTTGCTTCAGTGAGGGAGGTCTGAGAGAATGGGAAAAGAGAGGTCATGTGGAAAGGGATGAGGATTGATGGCCAAAACTGCACTGGAGGAACACAGACAGGATGGGGATGGGAGGTGGGAAAGGAAGGTGAGGCTGGAAAATGCCTGCCTGTGCCAGGTAAACTCATAAGGTTTCCAATTTTGTCCCAGAGTCTTCCAGGTTTGACTGTAATCATTAATATTTCCTTACTTTCTGACAGTTCCAGATGAAAATCCCTAGAGAGTCATTGAACCTACAGTCATTAATTAATGGAAAAATGCCTTATTACTGCTCCTGGCTCTCAGAGTAGGGAGTCACCTGGAATAAATGCAGCCCAGTGATGGAGTAACTGCCTCAAACTACTGAAATTCCTTTCAAAATCAGAGTGGGAACCATCCCTATGTTTTCTGGGGCAAGACCCAAAATGTAGAAGTATTCACAGAGGAAACAGCCTCGGGATGCACCAGGAGTGGTTTAGATATTAGGAAAAAAATTATTCACTGGAAGGGTGGTCAGGCATTAGAACATTCTGGAATCACCATCCCTAGTAGTGCTCAAAAGCCTCGTGGATGTGGCACTTGGGGACAGGGATTGGTGGTGGATCTGGCTATGCTGATGGTGGGACTGGATGATCTTAGAGGTCTTTTCCAACTGTAATGATTCCATTATTCCATAAATGGTGGAGGAACCATGTGAGGCCAAGCACTTAGAGAACTGATAAAAGGATCATCAATTCTTGGTAATTTTTACTTGATTATTTTTTTCCTTCTTTTTTTCTTGTGACTGGACTGACGGGCTCCTTAATTTGCTTATTCAGGATAGCTTAAAGAAGGAGCCAAGACGGAACTATTGCACATACAAATTATTTTATAGAATCATAGAATGATTTAGGTTGGAAGAGATCTTAAAGATTATCCAGTTCCACCCACCCTGCAATGGGGGGTGGAACTGGATAATCTTCCACTAGACCAGGTTGCTTTGTTTCTTTATTTTCCCTTGTTTTCAGCCTCTTTTATCTCCTTTTTTTAATCAAAGCTATTGCCCTGTTCAGTGACGTAAATCATATTTATTGACTTCCCAGGCAGGCCTTGTGTGTGTGCACAGCCCAACTGCTCCCCTGGATCTCCTTTTTCCACATAATTAAGGAAAGTTGTGAAATTTCCACTGTTGACACAACGGGCTCTAATGGCTCCACTTACCACATCCAAACTGCTCTGCTGAGCGCTGGGTGCTCCCATCATGGAGCAGGAAGTTTTCCCAGATCTGTTCCTGCAACACTCATTTGTACCAAGGATGAGCTGCAGGCAGGTTTTGTGTTTTTACAGCTGATTTTTAATCATTAGGAATTGAAAGGAGGGTGGCTGTGTACATCCCACTCGATTCTTGACACAGTTGGTGGTGATTTTTATGGAGGACACGGCCATTTTCATTACTTTTTAGGAGATATTTAGGGATTTTTAGGATCCTGTTAAATTAAAGTGAGCCTACAGTGCCAGTGTGGTTTTCAGTCATTTCCGCTTGGATGTTTATCAACTTTTAGCTCATTAATTCATATGCCTGGAAGGGAGCTGGAGTGGGAATTTTACAAGGGCACGGAGTGATAGGAAAAGGGGAATGGACTTAAGATGAAGGAATTTAGATTTATATAGGGCATTGGGAAAAAATTCTTCCATTTGAGGGTGGGGAGGCTCTGGAATGGAATTCCCAGAGCAGCTGTGGCTGCCCCATCCCTGGAAGTGTCCAAGACCATTTGAACAGGGCTTGGAGCAATCTG